AAAAATGGTACTATGGGCAAAAGGCTGATTTTACCTAAGCGACCGAATATGCAGCCGAAAATGCGGTGCATCCCCAGCTTCTCTCCTCTCTGTGCCAGTTTGTGTACCCTCCAATCCCCATAGCTCTCCCTCGCCTGTGTCAGCAGAGGCAGCAGGGATCAGAGGGGACACAGGGGTTCCAGCTGTCGGCACCCAGTGAGGAGGAGACAGCTCTCAGGAGGCTGAGCGGGGTGGTGCCAGGAGGAGACAGCTCTCAGGAGGCCAAGCAGGGCAGTGCGGGGAGGAGAGAGCTGTCAGAGGAAGCTGAGCTCTCCTCCCGCACCGCCCCGCTCTGCCTCCTGTGACAGACGAGTCAGGATGGAGAGCAGGTTACAAGCACTCACCAATCAGAAGTAAAAGAAGTGCAAAAGAAAAATAAAATTGGTTGAAAAATGCTAAAGACTAAATACTAAAAAATATGATCTAAACTGTATTATGAGCCACAAAAAGGTAAATTGTGGGCATCAAGTTAAAGAAATCAGTGAGTTACTAATGCAATCCAGCAAACAATGCAAATGCACTAAAGTCAAGAATTTCACTTAAAGTAACAATAAACTCAGGAGTTAAATCTTAAAAATGTATTCAAGTACCTTAACTATTAACAAAAATGAATCTTATTTGTGTATCCTTTGGCTGTAGTTCCTCAAATCATCTCTGAATTGGTGCTGACACGGTCCTTCCTTCTGGTGGGTGGCTATTTTTGTGCCTCATGGTCCCTGTGTGTGTTGTAAAGTAGTTACTGCTCCAAGCTCACTCCTGTGATGGACTACAATCTCAATACAAATCAGCTAACAAAACATGAGATTGTAGTCCATCACAGGAGCAAGCTTGGAGCGGTGGCTACTTTACAACACACACAGGGATCATGGGGAACAAGGAACAAAAACCGCCACCCTCCAGAAGGAAGGACAGTGACAGCACCAATTCAGAGATGATTTGAGGATCTACAGCCAAAGGATACACAAATAAGATACATTTTTTGTTAATAGTTAAGGTACTTGAATACATTTTAAAGATTTAACTCCTTACTTTGGTGTCACTTTAATTTATAATAATCTTGGCTACCTCACAAGGTCACTAGAAGCTTGTTCTATGTAACCCATTCTCTCTCTGATTCCTGTTTTACCAATCACATTTAAACTTCTAAGGCAGAAATCAATCCGATCAGAGGTGGGAGGAAGCTTTTTATACTTTTGTTTTATACGCAAGGCTTTCTGTATTAGAGAGACAAGAAAGATGCAGTGGGTGTGTTTGGGAATAGCTCTCCTGTATCACAAACAGGGGTTCTCAGATAATCTGATTACTAACAAAAGGGAGTGAGGGGACCTGGTGCCTGATAGCAGTGTCTGTATGAAAAACTGAAGTACTGAGCAGGGAAATTTCCCAGTATACATTTCACGCATTCATGTACAGTTATGATTGAAATGTACCTTTTATAACAGAGAGATACAAAAGAAACACATACAAGGCATAGCTTTAAAACCCCATATTTTCAGTGTGAGACTTCAAAAGAGGGTTAAACATTAATGTATTTCAAGTCTGGTTATTATGAATCCCCCCCCAACCTAATCTTTAATATATCACTTCTCTGAACCACATAAGTGTGAGTTGTTCATGTATCCTAAATATGCCAAACAGATTTAAAAACAATACAGATAACCCAGTTAGATTATTTCATGCACAGAATTGATAAACAGATTTTACTTAAAGTCTTGCATTTCCAGTCTGCAGAGACCACCTGGCTTCTCCCTGGAAGCGCCCATTCCATAGGATCAACCTGTTTGGTTAGGTAAATCACTGATTTTCTAGTGGACTTGCTCTAATTTCTAAATACGTCAGTACCGTGAAATAATAACACTACAGTGTGTATTAGAACATATAAAAATCTCGAGAGATCAATAGGTAGCATAGATTTTGCTTTGTATACTGACTCATTTCCATTCAGAGGTTTTGCTTTTATTGACCTCTCTCTGCTTTCAAATGCCAACTTTCTATTTTTAGTACACTGTGTCCCAGTTCTTCCTGTTTGCAGTGTAAGTGATTAGCTTTACACACAAACTTTTGAGAGGTGAGACAAAGGTGGCTTTGCTGCAACTGGTTATGTACACCATAAAATAGGAGGAGGAAGAATGGAAATAGCCGGGAGCAGCTGGAAGAGCCCAGGCATAAACTAATAATGGTTAGATGGAAACATTATTAAAAGCTTTGGATGAAATGATATACTTGAAAGTAAACCTATAACAAATCTCAGCAATTCAAACTAACCTTATGATGAAGAAGAATACATCAGCAGATGTTACCTTCACTAAAAACCACAAAGCATTACTAGATCCAGAATTACAAACAGCTGAGCCCGTTTGTAAATTATATTTTAATAAAAGTAGATATTGTCGCAGGTTCTTCACCTGGTATCACCCGACATATATGTGGCCTCAAGACAAATAGATATGTTCAGGGTGGGGCAAAGCTGCGCATTCTATAGGAAAGTGTATGTATTAGCTGCATTTATCTATGGATCTATTGATCACTTTGACATGCAATTTTCAGTGACATAATCTCTGCTCAGTCTGAATTATCCAAATTTGTAACTAGTTAAGATTGAAGCCCAGCTTAACTTTTTTTTAAATATTAGAAATAGGGATGCACCGATACTGGTATTACGGTATTGAGTACCACCATTTTTTTTTCAGTACTCGCTGATACCGAAAGTCCCGATTAGCAGGGAAGCCGTCCCATGCTTCTCGTCAATATGTGACAAGAAAGCATGGAGCTGGCTTTGTGGCCAATCAGAAAGACGGGCGCACGTCATTACATGGTGCCCGGATGCCTGATTGGCCGGGAAGCCTCTCGCATTCTCCCTCGTATCGGACTAGGCATCGGAGCATTTGTACTCACCCAAATACTCAGCATCGGCACCGATGCTAGTATCGGTGCATCCCTAATTAGAAATTATTAGGGATGCACCGATACCGCTACAAGCATCGTTATCGGCGGCGATACCGAGTATTTGCATGAGTACTTGTACTCGTGCAAATACTCCGATACAAATAAAGTTCTTATAATATAAAGCCAGGTATGCTGAATTGGATATAGCTGTGCCACAATATACAGTGTTCTGGTCTGGAGTCTCTACATGTGCTCATCTATTTTCCCCACTATAGGGATACAAGCCTTAGTTAGCAATGGCATGATAAATATTCATTTCATGTTCATTTCATGTTCTTCATAATATTAAGAAACGGACCTAAAATCATGATTTTGTATTGCTTTAGAAAAATGTGACCTGTCCCTTTAAGAAAAAGTATCGGTAATTGGTATCGGTGAGTACTTGAAAAAAAGTATCGGTACGGTCTTAAAAAAGTGGTATCAGTGCATCCCTAGAAATTATAAACAATACACAAAATACAACAATGAACAAGGAACTCTCTCCAGTGTAGCGAAGCCAGAATACAGCCACATATGGATGGGTTAAAATCAAAAATATAGTACAAGTGTAAGTATATCTCCATCAACTGCGAAGGTCATGTAAGATGTGATACAACAGGCTAGACACTACATTTAATTTTCCCAACAGTAACGTGAGGACCCCGAGGGGAAGTTGGACTGTCACAGATCCCGTTTCATGGTCTGATCCATAGCTGCGCCGACACCCCTATTTAGCAAAAGACAGAAAATGTCCGCCATTGGGCCACAGTGGACACTAGAGTGTGATCAGGAAGGAATAGATGATAGGAAAGGTAAGCGGATAGGGGAAGTTAGAGAAGTAAAAAAAGAGAGGAAAAGGAGATAGCAATAAGATACATGAGAGAAGGCCAGCAGAGTAGAATAAAGATGAAGTCCAGAGGACCACCCGAGCTGCCCCCAGCAATGCCTCTAGGGAGGAAGCAGGAGTATGTCCACTCTACCAGACAAATCACAAAACTGAGGCTTATCCCAAGTGAGAAGCCAAGGAGAACAAAAAATTGTGTATCTGTCATAGAGTTGAGCTGTGAATTCCTCCATATGCATCAACCAGTTAAGTTCAATTGTCCATTCCCCAATGGTCAGAACAATATGTGTTTTCCAGGGACTCAGAATAGAGACACTGGAATCAGCTTGACCCTAGAATCGGCTCTGGCAGCGATAAGAAAGAATCCTTTTTAAGCCCTCGTTCACACCTGACCGTTTTGTAGCGCGTTCTACGCTCGACGAACACTCTACAAAACAGTCAAAAATATAAATTGCATTGTAGTGAATGGTCTCGTTCCCACCTTGCCGTCTTTCCGCCTGTCCCTAACGCCCTACAAAACGGCCCATGCCTGAAAAGGTCCAGGTACTACTTAGGGCCGTTTTGTAGGGCGTTTTCCATTGGGATACAGCCAAGTAGCCTTCGGAATCGCGCAACTTTTTTACCGCGAATCGCGGTAAAAAACAGCGCGACAGACGCGCATATGCAATACGCCTAGGTGTGAACCAGGCCTAATAGACGACAGAGAGCCAGGGAGTATGGACAGCAAGACCACGTGAGGTGTACGGGAGGGAACAGAGGC